ACAGGAGGCAGGGATCCAGCGGGCTCCCAGCCCCTGTTTGTGTTGAGAGGTTGTTCCAAGTGACCAGTTGGAGAGGATTCAGATTCAAGGTACGAAGTGGTCACAGGTCAGAGGACACCGTGTGCACTCTGGATTTCTCCAGCAGTGACAGACTCTCTTCTATAAGACCTTGTGCCCCCTCTGCTCTCTAGAGGTAGTAGGAAAAGACCTGGGAGAAGTGAGGAACAGCTAAGCCCCACCAGGGATGCACAGCAAACCACCAGGCTTTGGTGCTTATGTTTGATAGTTTAAGAAGCATGCATCTTGATGAATGGCAAACATATAAGAAGAATATATAACAAATAAAATACAAATTATTATAGGACTCCCACTGACATAAATAAGAATCATAAGTTTATGTTTCTGTTCAAAAGCTCTGTCATTCCACACTTGTTGAAGTTCACAGAATACAGCCACACGTATGTACACGCACCCAATTAAAGCATGTCATGTTAAGATCATCTGCAGCAAGGCCACGTGCATGTTGACGAGTTCTGAAGTCGATTGCTTCCAAGACAGCAGCCAGTCCTCTGTTGTGCCATTTAAATATGCCCAGGCCCTATTTTCGGAAGTCTATATTTTGGGAGTTATCCCCAAATATTATGTTGTACCTTGACTTTGGGAACAGTTTGTTGTAGAGCAACTGTGATTTAAAGAACAGGCAGGAGCTAAAAAGGGTGAAAATGGAGAAAGCAGAAACAATAATGAGGACAATTTTTAAGAGAAAAAAAGAAGTATGAATAGTTACGAATAGTCAACAGAGATCAAAGAGAAGCAAGGACAGAGGTAAGAGCAACAGCAGAAGCATCTAGAAAAAAGAAATGCGTGATAGTATTAGCCAGCGTTCACTGGGCCTCTACAACATGCTGGGAGACAGACAGGTAGATAGACAGACAGATGGACACATACACAGATGGATGATGCATAGATAGGCCCCCGATTCTTCCAAAGGTCCTATAAAGTAAGCAGCAATGATTTCCATTTTACAGAATGGAGGTCTAGGCAGGTTAAGTGACTTACACGAGGTGACACAGCCAGGAAGTATGTGAGCCAGGATTTAAATCCGATTTTCACTGGCTTCTATACCTTCCCTCTTTCCATCAAACACTCTGAACCTGTATTCAGAGGACAAATGCAGGTTAGAGGAGTTAGTTAAGTACTAACATGCAGAGGTCCTGGAAGGTCTGTGTGTGTGTCTCTGGGTCTACATGGGACAAGAGAATGCTCTGGAATGTTTTGCAGCAAATTGGGTAAAATGATAAAACCAGGGCAGTGAACAAGATTCGTTTCACTTTGAAGCAATGGAACTTGATCCCACAAAGAGAAGGAAGCAACCAGGAGTAGAGAAGGATTTCAAGTCAGGAGGCTGAGAGTCAAAGTATGTTTTAGAGTTTCAACCACTGAAGTCCTCTCTTTGCATTTTATAAAATACAATACTCGTGAGGACTACAGAGTGAACGCCTGTGTATTACGATGGTGAACAGAAACCACGTGAGCCGAGGTACATTTTGAACTGATTTTTGAACAGTGTCCTACATGATTTTAAGTAAACTCTTTCACGAGAGGTTTTCATATTTGCTAATGATGCTGAAGGTGGGGAGGGATAGGAACCATGGCATGGATTAAAGTGACAGTCCCTGGAGCTGGTGGGGGGACAGTGTCCTACATGATTTTAAGTAAACTCTTTCACGAGAGGTTTTCATATTTGCTAATGATCCCGAAGGTGGGGAGGGATAGGAACCATGGCATGGATTAAAGTGACAGTCCCTGGAGCTGGTGGGGGTAGGGGGGCGGGTGCAGGAGCAAATCACTCAGGTGGGAATGAGCCCAGCTGACCCTCTGGGGTCTACATAACTTGCTGTCTAGCTTTCATGCATGATCTCGTTTAACTCCAATATATTTCCGCCCTTTAAGAGATGAGGGAATTATATGTCACAGGTGCGTCTGCAAATGTGTCAATGTAATAGGGTCTCAGAAATACCTTTGGTTCATATTAAGAATCTATTTATTCACTCACACACACACAAAAAAGCTCCAAAGTCACACAGTATCTCTAGAACCCTCCAGGCCTCCGTTCTTTGGCCCACACTGTGTCCTGTTGTTTGCTGTACTGGCTCCAAGAGAGCAGATCTGAACAAACTTACTCCTGGTTCTTACGCACAGCCCCCGAGGCCCCTGAGGCCAGCAGGCACCTTACTGAACTCCAGACGTAGCCTTGAGAAGCTGCAGCTTATCTGCATTTGCCTTAAAGTGAGTTTCGTCACCCAAGCCTCCTCAGTCCCTTACACAAGAGCCTCACCAGTTTTCCTGTGCTCAACTCACCCACTTTGACACAACTGAATCGTCCAGGGACAATCACCAAACCTGAACCCTGAGGAGTTTTTCCCAGACCTCCAGCAATTCAGCCAGTCATGTCAGGATCCACCCTCAGGGTGCTAGAGCCTCATGAGGATTAAATCCCACTCCGATCCACAACAGGCCACACAGAACCATTCCTTTCTATAAATTGCTCTGTCTTCTCGTGTTTTGTTTCAAAGAAGCAGAAGCCAGAAAGGAACATTCCACCTTGGGGAGGGCAGGAAGGTGGTGCAAGAGGAAACAGGTAAAACCCTCCCAGGGCACTGACAAGCCAAGCACTGGAAGGCAGGAAAAGAAAAGAAGCTATTATCTCAAAAGAGAATTTAAGGGGGGCCTCGAGATAAAGTGTAGGCTATCTTTGCGTTGGTTGGACCGAGTTTACAGGCATTACATGTGTCTTCCTTTCCTTCTCACAACATTCAATCTGCCTGGCATTCACGAGGCAGACTCTACTGTGCTACCCCAGCTCAAGACGCTAAGGTCTGCACAGGAATAAGAGCAGCCCCTGACAGATAAGGCTCCCTTTTCAGCCAGGAGGACACAAGACACCAGGAATTGCAAAACAAAATGATGCATCGTGACAAAGGTACAGAGTACTGGGTCCCAGAGACACATATAAGGGTCAAAACGGAGATCGTGTATTAAATTATTTCAAATATTGAAGTGTTTCAAAAACTCTCTATAGTGGAGCGCTGTTAGGTTCCTTTTGTCATGAATTCCACGTCCTGCTTGCTGACCTTGCTTGGTCCTGCTGTGCGGTGGCCTTGCCCGAGGCCGCAGCAGCCAGAGCACTGGACTGTGTTTCCTTACAGCTGGCGTACATCGGGTACCTGATGCTCTTCAACTACATCGTGCTGGTGAAGATGGAACGCTGGCCTTCTACCCAAGAGTGGATCGTCATTTCCTATATTTTCACCCTGGGAATAGAAAAGATGAGAGAGGTAACTGCTTTCGTCAAAGAAAACCTAGGAGAAAACAGTGGTTAGTTGTCCTTGGGAATGGAAGGGAGAGGGAGATGCTTGGGATCCAAATAAAACCAGAAACTGTTTTGTCTAATGCTGCCACAGGGCTGCCTTCCTTCTCTAACTAAACCTGGGGAGGCTTCACGGTGTGATGCTTATAAGGTTGTCACCCCATGAGTGCTTAGGATTTAGTCCATCTTCTGCTAATATAGCTTTTGCCCCAAGAAACCTTCTTGTTGTCTTTAATGCCATTGACATCTCCCCTGCTCATCCCTATACCCATGACTTTTTTTAATTTTGCCACTTTTGACTACCATTTCAACCCCTTATTCTGGGTCTCTTTGGACACTAGCAATCAATGCCTATGGTTCTCCAAATGTGTTTCAGCAGCCCTAGGAGGAATTCTGTTTTCGTTCATTTATGTAATTTATTCTCTGGTTTATTCCTTCTCAATATCTATCATGCACCTGCTGGGCACCAGCCACTCCACCAGCCCTAGGGACCACCAAGGTGAAGCGAACTCAGTTCTTGTCCTTCAGGTTGAGGGTGCAGGGTCTCTTTTCTCCCCCGATCCCGATGACTTAAGAAGAGCCATGGAAACGCCAACCCACACGGTCTGTTTGCAATCCAGGCTAACCACTGAAATGAATGTGATCAAACCGAAGTCCACAGGAGGGCGCTGCAGCCCTGCTCAGCGAGGGTGCAGGGTCTCTTTTCTCCCCCGATCCCGATGACTTAAGAAGAGCCATGGAAACGCCACCCCACACGGTCTGTTTGCAATCCAGGCTAACCACTGAAATGAATGTGATCAAACCGAAGTCCACAGGAGGGCGCTGCAGCCCTGCTCAGCGCTCTCCACGGCTCCTGTTCCACCAGAGAAAACCATCAGGGAAGGCGGGCTTGTGAGGCAGTGAAAATACCTCTGCATTTCCCCTGGAACTACAGTCAGCAGGAGAGGGCTTTTCCAGGAGAAATGCTCCCTGTCAAGTCCACTGAACCTTTCAGAGCAGTGAGTGAGAAAATATATTGGGCACCCTAGAAAAACAGGATTTCTACAAACCCAAAAATCCACCCTTGCCTTTATGACTAAGACAAGTTAAAAGGCCCTTGCCTTCCTGAGTTTCAGCTCTAAAATGTTCTTCTGCAGAGAAAAAGATACAATATCTATTAGATGCAATTATGTTGGGATCATTAAAAAAAATGTCTTATTTGTATTTAGAGTCCTTCTCTTGGGTTCTTAAACTGCTTGAATATTTTAATTCTAACTAGCATCTCCCCATCCTGAGAACTTAGGAGTGGGTATACTAGTTCCATTTTATAAAGGACTGGGTTAAAAAGAAAATGGGATGCCTTGCCTTGTTCCAACCAGTTGTCTACACTAGGTCTTCCCACTCATAGCATCTCCTGCTTCTTGACCAATGCCACGGATCTCCCCTGTGTACACTGAAACACAGTAATAAATTTGCTTTGCTCTTTGTGTAGCTCTCCGAGAACTGCAGCCTGCTACTGCTCGGGTCCCTGTGGCTGAGCAGTGCCAGCTGGCACTCTTGTGATTTAACGCCCAGATGCATATTCCTTCTCTGTGATAAGCAGAAAAGGGAAAGACTGGAGCAGGGAGATTGGAGTCTCTCCAGGGACTAGACTGGAAGAAGACAGAGAGCAGTCTGTACTTCTCGGATTGTTCTGGAAGAGGCCACCAAACAGGCAGGCTGCCAGGAACCTCAAGGCCTGCATATCCATTTCTCCTGAGGCGGCATATAATCATGGAGAGGGCAGGGCTTTGGAGGCCGGGGTCGGGAAGGGGTCAGCCAAAGAGTCCTTGCTTCTAAAGAATCTGTGGGGAGTGAGGCTGTGACCATCTTAGTGTCTGGCCTTTTCCTCTGTGGCCCAGTTAGTTTGCACCCCCCGCCCCCCATGTCCCTGCCCTGATTAAAGAGATGCTCAACTACCCAGGGGATGAGGACCGCACAGGCCTCTCCGACCTCCCTGTCTCCTCACAGTCAGCATGCAGGCCCCTGAGATCCCAAAGCATGGCAAAGTGTGTGTGCCTCATGCCTTGGAGGGACACACGAGGAAGGACTGTGGTTTCACATGCCACCCTCCTGTCCCCAGCAGCATGTAGTCCTTTCTGCCTGTAGTCACCAGAGCAAGTAATGGGTCAGTAGCACGGCACTGCTGACCACAGGAGACGTTAGCAGATGTTATCCCGGCTGGGTCCTGGTCCCACTACTCTGTGAGGTCCCAGCGTGGCTACTACAATCCCCATGCTGTGGGCCTGGGCACTGAGACTCAGAGGAGTTAGCAGTGCTTCTGTATCCCACAGCAGAATGGAGAGGTGGGCCAGGAGGGGCAGGGGAACAGGGCAATCTTGACTTTTCACTCCTGCGCCCCTGAGGGGCCCTACTTTTATCTCTCTTTTTAATGCTGGGACTTCATAAAAAAATTTCTTGCTATTTAAAAATGATACAACAAGCCTCTGTGTTTTAGTGGTTTTAGGAAAGCGTGAGCAAAGGGTTGGAAAAGTTCTGGGGCATTCCCCATCCCCCCACACGTACACACGGCTTTTTGCCCAGTTAAGATGGAGCCAGGGGTGAGAAGCCATCAGGAAACACCAGCTGCAGGTAGGACAGCGGTTTCTCAAACCATGACCTGGGAACTTGCTAGAAATGTCAGTCCTCCAGCCCCACCCCAGGCTATGGAGGCACGCTCCCTCCAGATGGTTCTAATGCACACTAAAGTTTAGGGAACCCAGGATAAGATGTGAGGAGGGGACACCACAGAGGATGAAGAATGAGGCCCCCACGTGCCTCCTGGTGTCTTTCTCAGCCTCGCAAGCCCCAGCCCTGACTTGCTGAAACCTCCCTTCCTTAGTATGTCAGACCAAGGCAAACCATTGCAGTGGACGTGAGCATTCAGACAATTAGACCTTTCCCCAGTTTTTCCTTTCTTCTCCTTTGAGAGGGCCTGAGTGGGGCAAAGGGGTGGGTCATGGCTTAAAGAGATGCAAACGTCAGGGGTCAACACAAGTGATTGGTGAAGGTGACCCTGGTGCGCAGCTTCCTTAAGCTGGGCTCCCTGTCTACTCACATCCCGGGGCAGACTGGTGCACAGGCTGGTGCGACTCCTGCTGTCCAGCTGTGCATTTCACAGAGCCCGTATGTGGCAGCCCCTCTAAGTTTAAGGTAAATCAAGAGTCCCACCCAGGAATTAGGATATGCAAAAGACCGGAGAATTGCTGTCACGTGCCTATGCAACAATTAGTCAGTTGACAAATATTTATTGAATGTCTATTATGTAACAGGCCTGCAGTACAAAGAAAGGGTCCACCCTCAAAGTTTATGATCTAGTGAAGAGAGAAGGATGGATGGATGGATGGATGGATGGACGGACGGACGGATGCGTGGATGCATGGGTGGGTGGTGGATTGATGGACTGATGGGCAGACACATACTCATGCATCCATATATATATATACGTACATATACATGCATATGGAAGATCATTTCATATAGTGGTAAAGACTTCAAAAAATTAAATAGGGTAATGTATTAGAGAGTGACTTGGGGACTTGGAGGCTACTGCAGCTAAGGTAGTCAAGAAAGGCCTTCCCAAGAAGGGGTCGTTTGAGCAGAGACTTTGAGGATGAGGAGGCATCAAACATGGACAAATCTGGAAGAAGAAAGTGCTTAACAGAAGGAACAAATGCACATGTCTTGAGCACGGGATGAACTCGTCACAGTTAAGAGCAGCCACCGTGGCTGCAGGGAAGAGAATGGGGGTGGAGATGGTGGGGCGTGAAATGAGGCCACAGAAAGAAGTTTGGGTTTTTCTCTGTTTGTGACAGAAGCCACCAGAAAGTCTAAGAATGCAATTCTCATAATTTGCTTTAGTTTCTGTTGCTCTTCATTTGTCTTTCTAGTCTCTTCCTTTATTTATTTATTTATTTTTTTTGTAGTGGAGTTATCATCATTTACCTGTAACTAAATGAACAGCTCCTGATGGTACAGTTTGATGAGTTTCTGCCTCCATATACAGCCACGTAGTCATCATCCAGATCACGGCTTAGGTTTTTAAAGGTCATTCTGTGTGTTGCTGGGGAGTTAATGAGGGCAGGTGGGCAATAAGGATGGCAGGTATACCAGTGTGAAGTCTGCTGCGATCATCGGCCGACTGTGATGGGGCTTAGACTGTGGTGGCAGCAGTGGAGGTCG